TGGCTAGGAAGAAATTCCAGCATGCATCTATATGCTTCTGCCTATAAATTGGGGAGGGGAAAATGTTTTGCAGTCATTCCCAACAAGCAAGCAAACAATATATACAAGGCAAAGCGACATTAATATGGCAAAAAAGTTCACAAACTAAGAATTAGGGTTGACACACAAGAGCGAATTCGGCTAAAATAACATAGCATTCTACCTTCAAAACAAGACTGACCGACAGAAAAATATGTCGAAATATATTTAAACATTTTACCACTAGATGGCGTTGTCAAAAAAAAAAACAATAAAAAAAACAGGAACTAATTATTCAAAAAATGTAGGTTTCTGTCATATTTTGGATATACGCCGCTTGGGGGCGCTCCCTAAGCCTATAAATAGGAAGTAACATTCTCTGTCATCCACTTTTTCCCATTTCACCCAGGGACAGTAAGATTTGGGTCGCACGTAAATAAGAACGCTGTCGCTGAGGGGCGTTCGCTTCCTTTAGTCCTCTGTTGAATTTTGAACTCTCTGACACACATATGCATATATACACATGTGTCTACCACACACGCTTGTTACACTTACTTCTACACAAACACCTTCACTAGCTCAAATGTTTTTCTTTATTCATATTCATTGCTTTGCTGCACGCACCCTATTTTGCTAACACAAACATTATCGTTTGTATATATATATATATATATATATATATATATATATATATATATATATATATAAACCGACCGCTTCCCCCGGGATAAGATACCACTAATCACTAACACAAAAATACTCTCATTAACAAGACGTCTACAAGAGGAGGACTGACATTGAAAATAAATTTAAAACAATGATCCGAGGCAGACACTTAGGGGCTGATGATAGCTGTATACAGAACGGCTTGAAATAGACTATATCTATGTTGAGGTAATTTTTGTTTTTTGCTGTTAAAAATACATATGCTCTGTTAAAATAAAGTAAAAAAAAAAAAACGAACTCTCTGTGGATCAGTTTTAATAATTAATATTACCAGGATCCACCCGGATTATATACCAACGAATCGATTACCTGTACACTATATATATATATATATATATATATATATATATATATATATATATATATATATATATATATATATATATATATATTATATTTATTACTTCCTTTATTACCCGAGCTCGAACAGAGGGTCCGCCATTTTTGTTGTGGGATAAATATACCAGGAAACACGTGTTTTCCGACACAAAAAAAAACTAGACCAGCATACTCCCACAACATGGTATTACTCATGAATTAATCCACTAATCCTCATATCAGAGAAGATATCTATATTTAAAAAGTGGGATTAGCGTTAAATCTCAAGCAACATTTAGTGACTTCATTATACATTCAGGACAAAGAAATAAACTACTGTCAAAAATGGCACTCTAAATAGAAAACAAGCCGCTGCTAACATCTCAAGCGATCCTATTTACAGAATAAACTTAAAAAAGCAATCTAGCATATACGAAGAACCATTAAACATATACGAAGAACCATTAATAATATACAGAGAACCATTAAACATATACGAAGGACCATTAAATATATACGAAGAACAATTAAATATATACAGAGAACAATTAAACATATACGAAGAACCATTTAACATATACAGAGAACCATTAAACATATAGAAGAACCATTAAACATATACGAGGAACCATTAAATATATACAGAGAACCATTAAACACATAAAAAGGACCATTAAATATATACGAAGGAACATTAAGCATATACAGAGAACCATTAAACATATACCGAGAACCATTAGACATATACGAAGAATCATTAAACATATACGGTGAACCATTAAACATATACGAAGGACCATTAAATATATACGAAGAACCATTAAACATATAGAGAAGCATTAAACATATACGAAGAAACATTAAATATATACAGAGAACCATTAGATATATACGAAAAGCCGTTAAACATATACAGTGAACCATTAAACACTATAACCATTAGACATATACGAAGAACCATTAAACACTATATTTCTGCGTAATTCCCGAAAAACATGTAAAATTTATATTACAGAAAATGGAAAATCAAAATTAATCAAAATAATCCGATCAAATCTAAAGTAGCGATGACCAATACAGTCCCTCAATTTCCCTCCTCATTACAAGACGACGTTTCGTGTCATAAATCAATTTCCTATATCGGACACACTACCGCCTCCTTGAGTAGACGTCTCACGTGTTACCAGATCAAAGTGCTATAAGAACATCTATCAAACCAGAATTTAGAAGAATCTTTAAGAAAAATCCTGGTCGAAAACACTAAAATTCTATATAAATCACATTACCAGAAACATCTCGCTATTAGAGAGGCCCTGTATATTCTCACGTACTATCAACCTCACCTTATCTAACAGTGGAAAAGGAGTGTTAAAAGTTATTTTTCAAAACAGAAAGATGCTCAGGCGAATTCCACTTGCGCGCAACATATGAAAGCTTGGAATGAACGCTCCTATTCAAAACAACACAAAAAAAGGTAAGAAAGCTGGAAAACTAAAAAAAAGTTGTTAAAATTTTCCTTGTCTTCCATATTTAACGGTAAATATATATATATATATATATATATATATATTAGAGAGAGAGAGAGAGAAAGAGAGAGAGAGATGTATATACGGCAATATATAAAAGGTATTATCATATATATATATATATATATGCTAATACAGACACACAGGTACAAACACGCACACACACACACACACACACACGCACACGCGCGCGCGCGCACACACACACACACACACACATATATATATATTTACATTGGTATACTGTACATATATCTTTACACTGCTCAGTAATTGCGTATATATGTGCTTGAATTATGAGTATGAAAATTCAAATGCGTGTGTATCTATGTGTTTATGTATATATATTCAAAACACACACACACACATATATATGTATAACAATATATCAAAAGACATTGTTTATTTGCGGATGCTTTGTGTGTATATATATATATATATATATATATATATATATATATATATATATATATATATATATATATATATACACAACAATGAGTATATGACAATATCTTTAGACATACATATATATATATATATATATATATATGTGTGTGTGTGTGTGTTTTATGAGAGCAGGCGTACTGATCGCCTATTGTCAGATTTTATCTTTATTCTGACAGACAGTCAAGCTTATTGTTTGGGTTATTATAGCGAAATAATTTTTACAAAAATCATATAAAAAGTAGCAAACTGAAAAAAGAAAAAAGAAAGAAAGAAAGAGTAGAAGCCAATTTTGTAAAGACCTTTTCACATCATGCCTGTATCTAATAACAATGTCCCCCTTCAGCTTGAGTAGCGTAAATATTTCTCAGAGCGCTTCTCTTAATAATAAATATTTTAGATGCAATGGGTCAGTGTCCAAATCGAGGAGGTCGCTGGAAGTAACTAGTGTGAATAGATTAGATTTTACTAGTTTATATTTTATATATATTTATATATATATATATATATATATATATATATATATAAGATTGAAGAAACAGCAGATATTTTTATATATAGTGCTCAATATTAAAAACATTAAAATAATATTACAAATAAAGCATTAATGATACTATATGAAAAGATTACTTAACTTTTAAATATCAATTTTAGCCCGATATCGATGTTTCTTGGTAAAATTTCCAGTCTTCTGGGGTTGTGTTTTTAAATAACGTTTAAAACCACAGTCCATGAAGACTGGAAATTTTACCAAGAAGCATCAATGTCAGGCTAAAATTGATATTCAGGTCAGTATTAAAAATAGACGTTTTTAAAAATTCTGATCTTATGTTCCCCCCACTTTCGGAAAAGAGGTAATGCTTTCTCTTTAAATTTCCTTACAAATCATTTAATCATCAGTTCATCACCTGAAGAAGTACAATCATAGTATTGAAACATGAAAGCATTGGTGTAGCGATTTCAAAATGTTTTTATTCTAATCTCTTATTATAAAAATAATATATTGCTCTACTTTGTATTGAGCACTTTTTTAAAAGAAAATGCAACGAACAGAGGAATTTTACTCCATCTGTTCTTTCTCTCATTTGAATATATATATATATATATATATATATATATATATATATATATATATATGGATTTACCGTCGGTTTCGACGTATGAGGATCTGACAGCTTATTGATTCAGTTATGAAAGTTTGGGCGATAATCTTAAGTGGCATTTTAAGACCCGCTATTGATTTACAAAGGAGGCCACATATGGAGCAAGTGTGAGGATTGTAAGATGAGATCACTGTTAGATTGGCTGACCTTTTACATCTTTCTCTCGCTTCTTGAATTTGATTCAGACAAGCAGATTGAAAATCGCTGAGTCCACTAAAACACGTTGATCTCCATTCTACCCGCTCCAAGGCTAAGCGCTCAAGGGGTATATATAATTACCTTGATTCGTTCTTATATATATATATATATATATATATATATATATATATATATATATATATATATATATATATATTTAGAGCTTTTAAGTATAAATATATATATACTACATGTATTATATGTATATACTATATGTATTATATGTATATATTATATGTATGTTCTATACAATAAGTATATACCTGTATACCAAGCATCTGAGAAGTTTAGACGCTTTGGAAATATTGTTCATGTGGAATTAAGTAAATTTATGAAAACGAAGACTTAATTTGGGTTCTAACCTGCTAAAAACGTTCTGCATTCGCGCCTGGATGAATAGAAATGTGAGCAATAATAAAAAGACAGAGCCATCTAACTAGCCATAGATACATCATATATATATCTAGTTAGTTCAGCCAATACAAGGCCCAATTACCACTCAAGGTAGAGGGGGTATGATGAGCGAGATTGTTGTTAGGAAGGGGGAGGAATTACGAAGTGTAGGTATGAGAACGTGTAGGATAGATATCGGTTGACATTGGACATGAAAATACCCATTTTGTTGTTGTTCGGAAAGTATCCACTCGAGAGTGTGTTCCATAGATAGATAGATAGATAGATAATGAACAGACTGAGATAGATAATGAACAAACAAACTGGGATAGATAGATAGATAGATAGATAGATAGATAGATAGATAGATAGATAGATATGAACAGAGACTGAAACGGTAGATAGATCTAAGAGACTAGAGGTACACACACACACATATATACACAGACACACACACACACACACACACACATATATATATATATATATATAGAGAGAGAGAGAGAGAGACATAGATAGATATTATTGAACTCATACAAATATATGCATATCAAAATAAGCAAGCTACTTGCAGCCGTACCCGTAATATGGTACTGCTGCCGTCTCGGCTCTCATCCGAAGAAAGCACTATTTCAATAACTTAGAAAATGGCGTCTGAATGGACGGTCAGTGATGTCTGACTTGAACTCAAAATGACTGTCGGATTAACCTGTGTGTAAATCCCGAGAACACGAAAAATGGTCATTAGAGAGAATTAGCTTAATCCATATTTGCCGATTTCTTTGGGAAGAGATGACCTGAAATCTTCAATGACCGTCAGGATTAAAACCCAGACCCTCCCCCCACTGCGCCAACCACACACAGCAAAATGCGTCGCAAATGGACATTTACCAGGAGATGTGCACTCGACATTAATACTGGCAATTGGGTGAGAAATCCGACAGGAACTTCAGATAACTATTAAAAATATATGGGGGGGGGGCGTTATATCTATCTATCTATCTATCTATCTATCTATCTATCTATCTATCTATCTATCTATCAACTAGTTGATATCTGTCTACCTATATATATATATATATATATATATATATATATATATATATATATATATCTACAGTCTCTTCATATCTATCTAGCTAGCTAGCTATTTATATTCTCATATCATCTCTTCACATTTATCTGTCTACGCAACCCGTTGATATCTATCTCAGTCTCTTCACATACACGCACATATATATATATATATATATATATATATATATATACAAGCATCTCTTAAAATGTGTCTGCCGTGTATGCACACCAGAAATAAAAGTGCTCAAAACCATACATGTATATCAACTAATTGCTATCTATCTATCTATCTATCTATCTATCTATCTATCTAATTCTCGTTATATCTATCTATCTATCTATCTATCTATCTATCTATTTATCTATCTATCTATCTATCTTATTCTGTTCATATCTATCTATCTATCTATCTATCTATCTATCTATCTTATTCTGTTCATGTCTATCTATCTTATTCTGTTCATATCTATCTATATATATATATATATCTTATTGTATTCATATCTATCTATATATCTATCTATCTATCTATCTATCTATCTTATTCTCTTCATATCTCTCTATCTCCCTATCTGTCTATTTTATTCTGTTCATATCTATCTATCCATCTATCTATCTATCTTATTCTGTTCATATCTATCTATCTATCTATCCAGTCTATTCATTATCTATCTATCTATCTATCTATTCTTTTTTTAATCGAAATATTTGAATCGTTTTCTTGATATAGTTTTATCTACGTTATCTATTTATTATGGAGGCAAGGTGGACTGATCGAACCGAGTTCGAATTCTTGTTGAGTTCATTCCATTCACTTGGGAAATTTATGAATCCATTCACCCCACACCCAGGACATATTGCTAACCGATCAAGAGAAGGAAAAATTCTGAATTAAAATCTCTGGATATGGTAAAATATTAGGGAAGCTCTGTAGCCATGGCTGACAACCAGTCTAGGAGAAGGAAAACTGAATTCAAATCCGCAGCCGGTTGCCCTATAACAGTCCGATGTCATGTTCCCTTTCTTTCTGGCAACACCTACGACCACGCCGGTGTCAGCTGATATTGGCCACTGCCTTTACATTTTCTGATGCTGCATGGGGCAACTGTCGATCTCTCATACAATATCCAGCCCAGGCCTGCGTCATCAAGTGGACGGAACTCTTTGTTTGCAAATCCATGGTCTTTGGAGACCGAAGGATGCCATTCCATCTTTATTCATAACTACCCTAGAAGACTCCCGTCGGGAGGACCTTTCACGAGCGGAGAGCTTTTGGGTCTTTGGCCTTTTACCTTCAGCGTCCTACGTACGTAAAAGTTATAAGAATTTATAATAATAATAAAATTATTTATCTCTATTCGATACCTTAATTCGGCATAATCTTTCTTCGTATAGAAAATAGAAAAAAATCTTATGAGCAACGTACCGTGCCCCGCTTAAGTTTTTATTGCAGTTTAATCTAGGCGATATCATTTGCAATTACGATGATAGGCGAAATTAAAGTTAAGTCTTTAATAAAGAATTGTTTTTTTTAAATCTTTCACTCTTTTCTATATTTAAATTTAACTTTAAACCTGTTATTTATTTAATTTTTAACCGCATGCAACTACAGGAAATTCTACCGGTTACTTCAAGTTATTTATGTTTCACTGATATCGAAAAACAGACGGACAGACGGACACACGTACACTGCGTTTTATAGATTATTCAAATATTGATTTTTCTACTAATGGAGCGCTGGTAGAACATAATCTTCCCTACATTCTTTATTTGGTTTCTATTAAGAGATATTTAGTGAATACTCAAGTATGATATACTCTTCATAGTGAAACAATTGCATCTCCCCATCTGCCCACGTCTTCGTTCAAATCCAGGTAAAATCCCTTTTTTCATGTGCTCAAACCAGATAAACGAAACAAGATTGTTTAGCAGTTTGGCGTAACACGATCTTTCATCTCTTCTTTCCTTCGCCCTTAATAACCGCCCCCCACTGAAAGGATTATACTGAAATCACCGTCCCTTCTTCCTTATCATTTAGATATATCGACAAGTATATTTATACATATTCTCTCTCACTCACTGTTTTTTCACTCACTCTCTCTCTCTCTCTCTCTCTCTCTCTCTCTCTCTATCTATCTATCTATCTATCTATCTATCTGTGTGTGTGTGTGAGTCGCTCTCTATTCATCTGTGTAAAACTGGCTGTATGAGCAAATGTGCCTTATGTAGGCCCTACAACGATAAACCTCTTCGTTGAGTGTATAACGTGTCTTGGCCGGACAGGAATAATGTCCGGGCCGTTTTTTTTTTATCTCTTTACTTAACCATAGAAAGAAAGAGAATGTCAAATGATGAAAGGGGGAGCTGCACTTAAAAACCGGATATAGATAAAAAAATAAAAAAAAAAAAAGAAATATAAAAAGACGAGAAGGTAATAATAACAGATCATTTTTGCATTTAAATTTAAAACGTTCTACCTGTCAGTTTTTTTCCGTTTGTCTTCAAATTTAATCTGTTCATTTTATTACTGAATTGCTTTTTTTGTTTTTTGTTTTTTGTGTGTGTGTGTGTGTGTTTATACGCGCGTGCGTGTGTGTTGGGCGTGGCAGAGAACGAGTGGGGCTGTAATTGATAATAAAATAATTCACTTATTTCAATCCGTACCTTTATGATTTTTTTAATTCTATCTATCTATCTATCTAGATATCTATCTATCTATCTATCTATCGATCTATCTATCATTATTCTCTTCATATCTATCTATCTATCTATCTATCTATATATATATATATATATATATATATATATATATATATATATATATATCCAGTCCCTTTACATTTATCTATCTATTTATCTACGTCCAGTCTCTTCATATCTATCTATAACATAAAATAATTTACTTGTCTTATTTCAATTTATGATATATATATATATATATATATATATATATATATATATATATATATATATATATATATAATCGACTCTCCTGTCGCGTTCGACGTATGAGGTCAGGCCGATAAGTCTCCAGGAAACCGACATCCCGACACCGGCACATGAGATTTGATTCTAGTGGTGAAGGCCTCGTGCAGGACCAGCGCCACACTTTTATATATATATATATATATATATATATATATATATATATATATATATATATATATATATACATATATATATATTTAGGAACTTTATATCAAACAGTCATGGGCTTCTGATCATTGCTCAGAATAGGGTCCAATAGTGTTATAAAAATCTCGGAGAATTCTAGTAATATATCTTTAATCATTTCTAAGTTTCAACGGTTCAGATCTTAATCTAACAATTGGACAATTTTGCTGTTACATCTGGTATATATGATTATATGTATGTGAATATAGATATATATATATATTGATTTATTTCTTTTCTAATTTCTGTTTCATGCACAACGCAATCGTCGGGTCATGGTTTGATGATTGGGTGTTGACTTCAATGTCCACTTTTATATTTACATACGCTCTGTCTCTGATGATGAGCACTTCGACCTATAGATATAGCATACCTCAAAACTATATATATATATATATATATATATATATATATATATATATATATATAAATATATATTGGAACATGCTAGTTAACATACACGTTATCACGACAAAAATGCATCTCATCAGGTGGTTTACGATGGTGGTAAAAAAACACCATGGTTAACCACCAGATGAGACGTCTTTAGACATCGAAACAAATATGTATTTTTGTCGTGGTAACTGGCATATTCTAGTGTAACAGTTTATGATAATATTTATTACTATACTCTTGTATTGACCCCTTTTTTAAATTGAGGTTATGAACGTTTGAATTTATATTCTTTTCGTTCTTTTACATTTGTGTGTATATATATATATATATATATATATATATATATATATATATATATATATATTTTTTTAATAAAAAGAAATAACAGTAAGATATATAAACCGGTGTTCGTATAGATATTTTTTTTATTTTTATTTTTACAAAACAGTGCTCAGTTTAAATTTACAGAGCCTTATGAGTTATGTTCTATTCTTGTATCAATTATGAGTAACGTAACTCATAATTGATACAATAATAGTTAATAAAAATGAACACGCTACCGCCCCTGTTTAAATGCTTGGATTTCTCTGTATCCATGGAAACAAAAAATTATGAATTGTATGTACGTTTAAAACGCAGTAAATTTAAAAATAAGTTATTCCAAAATTCGCTTGAAGATAAAACATAACTAATGCTTTTAATTTGATTTTATACTTAAATTTGAAACATGTTAATTCCTCTGTAGAGTAGAAACCATATTTTAAGTCAGTTAATTCATAATACACACAAACACACACACACACACACACACACATATATATATATATATATATATATATATGCTACAAAATCTAATGTTAATAGTTGCAGAAACATCCGCTTCTTATGTATTTCGCTTCATTGACAAACAACAGATTAAATACAAATATAGTGAAAAAAAAACGTACTTATATAACCTCCTGCAGTAT